TCTTCAAATCGACTTGAAAAATCATGGCAAAATATTAAACAACCTTAACCAGTTTGAAAATGAAGCCAGAACTTTTAACTAGAGAAGAAGAAGAGGTGTTGATGGTGAGGAGAGACATCGTTGACATTGGGGTCAAACAACTGGTTTTGCAATTGGAGCATAGAGATAGCCTGCAGTAGCACGAGGACAAAGATAGGGTGCTTTTGAAGAAGACCATTGCCTTGACGAAAACATGAATAGAACTTGTACCCGTTGGACAACTGCACTGACACGGCGGCATGGTTTGTGTCGGCCGATTCAACCAGAGTCGAAGTCGCTGCGGCCTTTGAATCCAAGACGACCAATATTTATATTTTAGGTGTTCGGAAAAAAAAAAATTTGTTGGGCTGGGAACTAATCGGAAACTCCTCTCCTATGCACAGCGGGTTTTAGTATTTGAATCGGGCTAATCAGTTAGCCATTCACCCAGGCTTGGAGCTGAGACCATCCGAGAACTGATTACAGCCCAGGCCCCGAAGGGCAGACTCCGATTCTCAGAGCACGACTTAAATATTATTAAAACCGTACACTGTCAATCGATGTGGGATTCATTCCCTTTAAACTTTAAAACTAACTTAATTGATAAACCCCTGAACTTCCTAGATTATTAATTTTATGGCCCCTTAATTACTACGGTGTGCTTAAAAAAGAAAAAAACCTTATGTTAAGGAAAAACTTAACATTTTATAGTGAAATATTTTTAAATGTTCAAGAAAATAAGTCCTTAAACTTTCTAAAAATTAAACTAATGGGTAACGACCCATTTAAAGAAAAACAGAAATCCTCTCCTAGACCTAACCCTGGCCCTCTCCTTGCTTCTGCCTAAAGAAATCATGAGACCATAAACACTTTCCAGTTCCCACTTAAGCTATTGAACCAGAACCAAACTATTTGTTCCATTTAAAATCATCAATTCTTGTCAGCAAATCACCATCTCAGATACTATAATTTTGCATAATTTTCAGTTAACTTCAGCAGTTTTAAAAAGACTACACTGTTTGTCCATCCCAAAACAGGCAAGGTTGTGTATAAAGGCCCATCATAATGCAACAGTTAGGAGCAAATAGCAGGCTCTTGACGTACTTCTGGTGGAAAAAATACTTATGAAGGTCTATGAGACTTCTAACAGACCACAAAACCATTACAAACTAGTAATTAACATAAAGAGTGGAACAAGCTAAAAAGCTTCATGTATAACCATATCTCTATTCATAATCTCAAATTGTACATAATACACACGCCACAAATCTTTTAACACCATAACTGCAAGGAGAGGCATCTCAAGGAAACAGAGAGAAAGACAGAAGTAGATATAAAATGAAGAAAGGCAGAAAGTGAAAAAGAATTACAACATACCAGTAACAAAAGATCAACCAAGAGAAGTACAATTAGAAGATCTTGCTATACTCACCGGTGAGGGAATTCTTTAGATTTGAATAAAGACCATACAGGGAGTACTGTCGAAGGTTCTCCACTTCATACCATGAGTTCATAACTGAAAGGTGCTTATCTGTGCCAGAGAATGCTAATTGTATCCCAAGGCTACAATCTACACTTCCATTTTGATTTTTGCAGCTGGATGTCTTGATGGCACAGTCTTGGTTGTTGAGACATACAAAACCAGAGTTCCCTGCACATTTAGCACAGCCATCTCTTTTCCAGTACAGGTTTTGCAGCCTGCCCTTTTTAAACTCAAGCACCTGCAAATACAATTTTATCAATTTGCTGAGAATGCATTAAGGTAAATTTATGTCATGAAGAAACAGCTTCTGGTAAATCCCTTACAAGGGTAAAGCTTGTTACAGTATATGTACTGTTTGCAACAAAAGCAGGTGGGGACCTTGCAGCATATTTTCGACCAGCAAATGCAACCATATACCCACCGTATGAGTCCTGGAAGGCAAAAGCAATTACAGGGTTATAATCTCTATGCAATTAATGCAGTTTTATGTAGGTTAACTTCTCAGAACAAATATAAGCTCCATATAAAGCAAATTTCAACAATCAACCAGAAACAACATGGTCGCAAATATTTTGCTCCTTATGGGGTAGTATTGCTTAAAAGAAAAGCTTGGAGTCATTAAATGCCCCGTGGGATGCAGGCCAGGGAAGGCAGTTACAGGATCCACCACTATTATTTTTAATAAGTTCTTCTGTGGAAAATCTTCTTAGTGGTTTCTTTGAGATTGCTGTTAATGTAGTAAAATGTGCAAGATGTGAAAAAAGACAATAATTTTGAAGTTTGCTCTTGGAAGTCCAAGATAAATGGGCACCAAAACCACATGACAAGGAGCATGGTTAAAGACTAGAGTTCCTTCTTTAAGGCTAGCTGCTCTTGCAAGAATTATGGCAACTTATCAAAAATGCTCATTACTGACAAGGATTGCGCATGGGCTCCAATAAGTATCACTTGATTCACTTCATACATCTAATAGAGAACGACACCATTGTTTTTGGTTATGTGACATGGTCAAGCATGTCAATACTTTTTCTGAAGCAAAAATACTATTGTGGGGGATAAATGAATGTTAATTACCAACACAACCAAGGAAGAGAATGATTCCCTAGCTAACTTTTGTGGCTACAATCCTAAATTTAGGTGCCACAATTATTTCATCTCTAATCATTTCTTGGATACTTGAGGAGCCTCATGTTCAATTTCCCCTGGGCTAGGTGATGCTCCCACCTTTATCATACTTCTTATCGCATGGTTACTTCACATTATTATATTAAATTTTTTTTATCAGCTATTATATTACTTAATGAAATGATAAAAAATGAGGCCACTCAGTGAAATTATGGGAAGGGCTCACGTCAACTTACCTACTACATAATATTTTCCGCATTTCATGGCCACAATGATGCATATTAGATTTTTTGAAACCAAATGAATAGAAATATGCATGCCCACTCTCTAGTCATTCCTGGATCCTTCAGGTTGTCTCATGTTCGAATACCCCTAGTTTGATAATGTGCCTATCTTTGTTATACTAATTCCATAGTTACTTGACTTAATTATATTACTTACTAATATGATAAAAATGAGGCTACACTGCAAAATTATGTGAGGGGCTGAGATCAACTTACCTACTAGCTACTACACAGCATTTTCAGCAACTTCATGGCAAGGAAGATGCATATTGGTTTTATCAAACAAATAGAAATACTTGTACCCAATCTTCACTATTATCACTAAAGTATTCATCTTTAGTCATTTCTTGGATCCTTCAGGCTGCCTATTGTTCAATTTCCCCTGCCCATATCTTTATCATCCTACTTATTGCATGGTCACCTGACTTTATTATATTACTTACTAAGATGATAAAAATGAGCCCATTCTGAGAAATAATGTGAAGTGCTGACATCAACTAACCTACTACACAACAATTTCAGCATCACATGGCCAAGATGATGCATATTAGTTTTTTAGAAATCAAATAAATAGAAATGCTTGTCTAGGACTGCAATAACTACAATATAATCAACCATCACTTCTTCCATCATCCTCCCAAGGCAGCCAGCCAGCCAGCCAGCCATTGCCAGCCTAATCAACAGCCACCACCAATCATCAAGCAGCACTGCCACAATCAACACCACCTTTGCCTCCATAACTACAACACCCCTACCAATTTCATGTTCACAAGAACAATCACAATGCATAGTCTTCCTCTATCACCATCATTACCACTGTCCTGCACTTCATAAATGTTATTTATATCTCCACATTCACTTAGTCTTCACCACTTTCTTTACTCGTCACTCCATAATCTAGAATTCCAGTATTCTACTATTTCAGAAACCGTGTAACTTCAAAAATGAAAATTAATCCACTCAAAAATAGTCGTAATCCTAAAAATAGAAAATTCTAATAAAATAAAAGGACCAAATCAACATCATGAAAATGGATCGGAACCAGTTTTCATGATGAAGAGAATATAGGCAATCCAACACCATCAAAATGTATCGGAACTAGATTTCATGATGAAAAAAAATATGAGCAATCCAAACCGCAGGAGCAGAGAAAGGTGACTAACCGGAGAGAAGGAGGAGGTGTTGATGGTGAGTAGAGAGATCTCATCGACTTTGGGCCTAAACACAGAGATCTGAGAATTGGATGAGGAGAGTGACAGTCTGCGGTCGCACGGAGACAACTGTTGGTTACTATTGTAGAAAAACGACTGCCTTGACGCGAACGCGATCCCAAATGTGAACCCGTCGGACAACTGCACCGTAGTGTCGGAGCACGGCGAGTAAACATTGTTCGTGTTCGCCGATTCCACCAGAATCGACGTCATCGCCACCGTCACCAGCATCAGAAGATGATAGACCACCATTTTCGCCATTACTTTTTCCATCCGATTTCGATGATCGGAGGAGACAGTGGTTTGTTTATGTTCACCAGAATCAGAGTGAAGGCTACAAGACCCATGTCAAAGACACGAAGACAGACAGCCTGGATTCGAAGCAAAGTGTATATCTCTCGGCCCATGTTACATGTCCGACCCGAAATCATCACATGGTTTAGTGGGCTAGGCCCTGAAATTTCCGACACATTTCTTTTAAGAAAAAGGGAAAGAAACAAGAAATTTAAGAAGAAACAGTGTTTACAGAGTAATTGTAAAAAAAACTTGCATCCAACTCGAGTGATCTAAATAATTTAATAATAATTTATTTTTATTGAAAGTAAAAGATCCTGAGAAAGTTGTTTTTTATTATATAACAAAAAAAAAAAAAATTGCAGCAAACTGAAAATCAAAACTCATTGGATGGGGGTGTTCACCTATACAATAAGGTAGCTTCTAATCAATTCACACAAGTTTTGCAATTCAATGCATGAGAAATGTTGGGGGTGAGTGTCCCTGTACCCTGTACCTCATTGGTGTTTGGTGTAGGGTAATTTTTTTTTTTTTTTTCTGAAAAATCTCACTTGTGCATTCTTAACATTTCTGGCCAATGCAATTTAAATTGCAAATCTGATGACTCATGTAAGATATTTGTTTAAATATTCTCTAAAATATAAGGGATTTTGAAAAATCAAGAGATTAATTAAAATGTCAATTTTTCTTATAAAATTATTTAGATATCTTGAATAAATAAACATACAAAAAATATCTATTAATGATATTTAAATAATTTCACGAAAAATTCTCAAAACGTCTTAATTTTTATTTTTATTTTTAAATATAATCGGTACTTATCTTGAAAATTAATCAAACCTTTATTAAATTATTTTTTGTGAAGTTGGCAATGAACAATAATGAGTTTGCATGTAATGGGATGATGAGTGAGGGAGGGTCAACCACCAAAATGCCAACCAAATCCTGAAAAGGACACAGTGGGATTTGGTCTCGATGACATGCGAACTAGGATTTGGATTATTGCATTTTTTTTATGTAATCAGATCAGATAAACCAAATAACTACGTAAATTTACTCTTATTAAAGAAAAGAGAAAAGAACTTGGTAGGCATAGAATTTGGTTGGCTAATGTCCAAAAATCCATCTTCTTAACTCTCCCTGTTCCTCTTTTAATGAGATCCTTGATATAGAGGTTTCAACATTCAAGTGATTTACGCAACTCGAGTGAGAAGCATAAATAAAAATTAGTAATATAACATCATCAAAAAAATCTTTCATTTTTATAAATTTAAATAAACCAAACTCTATTTGCACCTTATATAAAAATATATTTTTTTTTCATAGTCAACACTTTAAATTAATTTTTGTCTTAATCAACGTATTTTATTATCTAAAACTTATAAAAAAAAACTCAAAAAAAAACGATAAAATCCTTTATTTTACGCTTTAAATTTATGGTCAAATCTTTTATTTATATAATAATTTTGTTGGTTTATTTAAGGTTTTTTTTTATAAAAGTTAAATTATAAAAGATGTTAGTCGAGATAAAAATTAATTTAAAATATTAATTACAAAAATATATATCTATAATGCAAATAAGAAGTTTTGCCATTTAAGTAAGGTTAATTAATTAGGACTGAACC